TATAGCACCATTATACATGTTAAGAATTAAGTGTTATTTATATCTATTCCATAATATTTTTAATGATGATATTGCTGCTATGGATCATAAATAGAAATGATCAAGTCACTGCTTTCTCATTTTCTAGGCATAATAGCAGTAGTGAAAAACTAGTACTTCCTGCTTTCTTATCCACAACATTTTGTAATAAATGGTCACCTTTTAAATGACTTGAAAGCACTCACAGAAGTTTTAAAAAGAAAACTAATTTGCATTTTGCTTGCTGAAGTCTAGCTAATGTCTATTTAACAGGTGCCAAACATTTAACCTTTTGAAGTATTTTTATTTAAAAAGAAAAAGTCATAACTCCAGTGGCTTGGTTTTCAGTGTAATAAAATAGGAAATAAGTTTTTCACTGTTAGCCAGCACATGGGGGGGAAATGGCCTTCTGTTGTTTGTTTTTTTTCCCCAATTATTCTTCTATAGAGCTATTTTTTTTTTTTCTTTTTGGTTGGCTTTTTTGTTTGTTGTTTCTTTTTTTCTTTTTAATATATATTTTTTTAAATATTATCATTTGTTATATAGCACAGCTCATTTACAAAATAAAACTTGAGTATCATAGCTTTGTTTGAAGGTTGGTTGCAAGTTCTTGTATATTGCCTCACATTTTAGGGAGTAATGCTTAATATCTATCATCTATAATATTAGAATTTCATATGCAATGCAAAATCTCTTAGAAAGCAAAGGAGTATAAAGAACCCTGTTTTCTGCACTTATATGAAGACATGTAATATTAGTTTGCTAGAATAAAATGAAATACAGACACTGCTTTTAACTGGGATGTATACAGTATATAGAACTTTCTTTTAAAGAAAAAAGTTATTAATGATTCATGAATTAGACTACAACATGGAATTCTTACACATTACTGTATGTTTGATGTAAAGATATTTATAGGCTTGTACTTAATAATCACGTTGCCTCAGTTCTTGGACTGCAGAATGTCTAACATGACTGTTGCCTATAGTTTGCTCCACATTTGCTATCTGGCTCTTTTAAAAACAGATGTGTATTTGGCTATTTGATCTGTAAAATAAATTCTATTAATAATGAAGTACGTATTGTAATTCAGCATATTGTATCGCATAATTATAGCTATGACTGTTACAGAGAGTTTTTCATTTCTGATGACGGGATCATTTCCTTGGGAAGAAGTTTCATGTACCTGTCAGACAGTTTTGCTCTTCCTATTTTTAGCAGCCTTGCAGCATTTATGCTTCAAACTAAAAACCCCCCCAACACTCCCAGTGGTCAGACATGCAGTGACATTTATTGACTCGGTGCCACAGTTTAAAATTCATTGATCCCAGCAGTGCTGCTGCAGTTTTTTGTGGAGGTGTTCCCTAGGTGGGTGATGGGAAAATTCAGTGATGTTTGGGTAACTGCCCTTGGGGCTCAGTCAGAGTGCTTTGTCAGGCAGACAGGATGATTTCACAGGCTTTCAGTTTCTGGTTGTAGTTTGAGTCTTTGGATTTCTGTTCTGGCGAGAATTAGGTTGGATTTCCTTTTTGAGAAAACCCCTATAAGTAAACATAATGTTTGATGAAGAGAAACACCAAATAAATTCAATGCTTACATTCAAATTTTTTTTAATTAATTTTTTTAAATCAAGGGATACTGAGTGGAGATAATGTCATTTATTCATCTCAAGAGAACATGTAGTTGCCCTCAGATATTTTTTCTCTGGTGGTGACAAGGCATAGATAGTCTGTAGCAGGTTATTTTGATTTGAGGACTGCATACCCTCTAGAAGTGCCTACTTTCTTGCACTGAGTGTGAAGAGAACCTTTAAGAAGTACCTTTCTTGTACCAGATGTACCAGTTATGTGCTTTCAGAGAAAAATACACTTCGAGTTTCTTTGCTTTTAACTTAGCTGAAGCTCTAACTTTTTCCTGGTATTACGCTGGTCCTGTCATTCTAATCTACAAATAAATAATTCTAAAAGCGTCTAAGATGATTTTAAAATTTCCAGAAGTTAAAAAAATGAAATAAAAGGCGCATCACATGGTTTAATTACTGGTCCCAATCAGTAATCTCCCTCCTCTGGTTCTCTCATGAGTCAGCCCAGCCAAATATGATAAAGCTTCCAAATGCACTAAGGGAAAGCCAGAAACCTCTTAAGTGGCTCAGTTTCATGTGTTTTGTCTGTTTCAATTTTTGTTTTCTAACATCTAATTATCACTGCTTAAAATATTGTTTTTTTCATAGACTGGTATATAACCTGTTCAGAGCTCATCTCCTCCTGATGGTTGAATGGGTTCATGAAAATCTCATGGAAGCCTAATGTTTATTGACCAAATATGTGTGTGTGCTGGATACCAATTTCTACACTTTTCTGTTATGAAGGCCAGTCAAAAATTTCGATTTTTTTTTTAAATAGTACCCTGAGTCAAAGCTAGCTACATGTGTTTCAAAACCAACTCTGTTTCTCAAATGTTTTCACCTACAGAAATATTTTTTTTTCTGACTGCTTAGAAGTCAGAGTCAATTATGAGCAAAAAAATCACTGAGTTGACCAAATGTTACTTTTGAACTTGACAACTCATTATATTTTCTTTGGAAAATCAATATATTCATCATACCTTCACCTCAGTAGAAACTTCCCAAGAAATTCCCCCTTGTCTCTGGTGCTCATTGCTCCTCTCCAGAGCATCCAGGGATCCACCTGTAGGGAAATCCCCAAAGCTTTGGGTGGGTTCAGTGCAAGGTGGGGCTGAACAAAAAGAACAAAAAAGAAAACTTCTTGATTTATTGCCAGTTTGTGATGTAAGTGATCCCATGGCTGCTAGGGCTGGCAGGTGAGCTGCTTGCATCCAGTGTTGCCAATTATTGTGGAATTCTTATGGATCTGTGTGTCTACCAAAGCTGCCTCCCACCCGACCTCAAACACCCCCGAGAGCAAGCGAGGCACTGCAGGAACTTTGGGGGATTTAAATCCTCCTGAGCTCAACTGAGTGGGGGATTTCTGGAGGGCAGTAGGGGGCTGTCAGGAACAAAGCTGGTTTGTGATGTAAATAGAATTCTATTTTTAACATAAACTGTAATGCTGCAGGGTTTTTTTGTGTTACACTTTTCTGGTGACTTCCCATTTTACCATAAAACATATATTTATGGTGTATCCTGGTCTTACGTATTATTTGTAAAATCTTTTTAACAAATGATTTGAATATATATTTTTGCTTTCATATTGAATTACTGAGCACTGTTCCTTTTATGTCTTATTTATCTATTTCTAAAATAAATTTGGTTTGACGATTATATTTGTGTACCTTCTGGAGCAGCACTGTTTTTAAATACACCTCTGGTCTGTTTGCTTAATGCATGCACAGCACCAAGCCTCTACAGAAACTGGTATTTTTCACAGTTTAGGAGCTATGATTATTAAATAACTTAAGCACATGTCAGCTTTACAAGAAGAAATATGAAGGAATATGCCTCTTTGAAAACCTCATACTCTTTAGCAGCACATTTCTTTTGTCTACAATCTTTTTCAAAGAAATCTAAGCAGGAATTCCAAGAGTTGCACATTTCCCAATGATGTTTCCATGCTTTTGTGAGTGTTTATATTGGTCTCTGTGTGTATTTTGTTTCCTGTGTATACAGGGAGCACGAGGGTGTGTACACACATTTATCACACATTCAATTAGCAAAGGTTATAGGCAGTAAATATTGCACAGACTGACTCTGCAGAGATGTGCCCATCCCAATATCTCTTGCTGTAAAAGATAGCCAAGCTCTGAGGATTTCAATCTGCCACATTATTTGATTTTTGGGAAGATTTGTCTTCCCTTCAGAGAATGTACAGGGTTCTCAATATGTGAGAAAATGACTCCTGGTGATTTGGAGGTTAGGATACAAATATGAAAAGTGCAGGTTTGAGTTTCAGTGCTATGATTCTTTCACTAGGTTATTTTACTCAGTCCAATACTGTCTCTCAGTATTCTAAAATACATTTTTTTCTACTAAAAAAGACTCATATTCTTAAATTTAACCACTGCAAATGTAGCAAAATGACTTTTTTGGTATTTTCTCCAAATTGTGAGCTTCTGTTATTTCATAAAGAGACACATGTAAATCAAATTCAGTTATTTATATGCATAGAGATGGATATTCAGTGTGATATCAGGAATTTTTCAGGGGCATTATTGACTTTTTGCAATCTTTTAAATAGGTTTTCTTCATTTGTGTTCTCATTTCCGAGGGAGGTGTTCATTCAAGCTGAAATCACTTATTTCCAATAAAAGCTGAATGATGATATCAGAGGTATGAAGTTTGATTTCTCATTGCTGAATTCCAGCTAGGAATGAGGAGCTGAATTTTGGTCTGTTGTTCTCAGCATTGTTTTCATCCTTTCCTAAGAGAAGTTCCCTGGCTGTTGGATGGATGAAGTGCCCTCAGCTCCTGTTTGTTCTGTTTTCTCCTGGGCTGTGATCTGAAAGTCTCCAATCATAGGTTTTCCCACACAAAAATATTTTTTTCCTAGGTCTGGATCTAAACCATCCATGTGCTGATGGTTTTCCTCTCCCTCTCTTGCGTGAAAAAGAAATTCTGCTCTTTTCCAGACATTTGGACATGAGTGTTTCAGACAAGCCAGTGGACTTTAAAAGGCTGACTGGAATTTGGAAAGTCCTTTCCTTTGAATGCTGAGGGCATTTGAGTAGTTGGAAATTACTCCAAATTTTGTGATTTTCTGACAACCAAACTTAGCCAGTGTCTGCACAGACAAGGTCATGACCACGAGCAGGACTCAGGAGGAGTTAGGATGGAAAGGG